TTCCATATTTCTTGTTAAGGTAGTTACATTGTCATGCCATTGCACCACTTCTTAATCGTATTAAAAATTATTCTTTGCTTATTATCATACTCAAGTCCTAAACCTTTTTTCATCACATTTTATTATTAACCTTTAATTAATTAGCCCATTTTGTCCTCATAACATATTTTTCTCAAAAAGTCCGTTAAATGGTGTAAAAATAAGTTATCTGCCTCTCATAATTTTAAATAAGAAAAGAAACAACAAATGCAAAAATTAAAGCAAACTATTAGAATACTCTATATAAACAATTTTCAAAGACAAAATGTGCTAATTAACGAAAGATTAAGAATAGGATTGCAATAAAATAATGTAGGGACCTAAGTGTGCCAGTATGAAAACATTAAGGGCTTGACTACAATTAATAAGTGGTGCAACGAAAGAAAACTGTTGTTTCAACATAAATTATCCATGGTAAAATGAAGTACTGTGTTAGGGACATTATAATCCTCTACGCTGACTTTATTTATTCCACATAAAATATTATTCTGAGACTTTATTTATTTAACATAAAATATTATTTTGAAAGTCTCGTTTCTTATTCTGACTTTATTTATTTAAAGTAAAATATTGGGATGCTTGATTCAGATTGAATATAGTCCACTAAAACATTATCACCAACGAATGGTATATGTTGCACTCTTATCCAAATGACCCAGTCACTTGCTAAAGACTCTGGACCGCATGTTCATCAAATAAGGTTCTATAAACAATTAAGGTCATTTGCTATGCACATTCCAAGTTTGTACAACAAAGGGACCACCTCATATGTACCATATTCAAATGTACAAATCCATCTAACTTGACATAAAATAAATCCACAATTAAGAATAGTGATTGATGTTTTCTTGTGAATTCAATTTTCTTTTCTTAGTCATTGGATTTCAACGAAGTACGTGAATTTGGTAAAGGAAGCCATCTAAAATTTGATTTTACTAGACTATTCTAAATAATAACTGATCAAATTAACATAATGGAACTGAGTGACAATGAATGAAATTCACAATATTGTTTTGAATTTATAGTCAATGAACATCTGAACAGCATGAGACTGAACATAGAGAACTTGGCCAGAAAGAAAAAGTTTTGAAGAAAATCGCATTCATTAAGGAAGGAAATTGGGTTGTAGTCATATTGATCCTCTTATTCTATTATTTTGACAATTTTCGAGCACCTTGTAGTATTTTCAGGCTTACGAATAGTCTACTATATCCCCATAATTTTGTTTTTCCATGGGTAGAGTCACCATTTCCAAGATAATAACCCCTCAATATAAATAGATCGAATATCTTACTATTACAGAAGGTAGGTCAAATCAATGTCAATACAAAATTAGTCTAAACAATTTCCATTATTTCAAAGCCCCATTACATATACACACATAAACACAGCACATTGACATAATTATTAAAGATAATACATGAAATCGAAAATCACCTGCAAAAGCAAAAGCTCTAAGTTAGTTTACCTTCAAGAATCTAATGAATACAAACTTTAACTTTAATAATAATTTAAGAAAGGGAAGTTTGTGTTATTCAACAATCTATTAAACTTTATAGGGGTAGATATGTGTCACTCAAATTCAAAATATGGGAGGCTTGTGTATTTAAAACGATTGGGGTTTCATGGGAGATATCAATTATTCAAACTTGAAATAAGAAAGGTTTTAGTAATTTTTGAACCCAGATGATGTCTCTAAACTTGTTGAAAACCTAAGGGGAGGTCTCAAATTTGCCCTAATTGTACGACAATTGTTCTTGACACGCAACTTGCTCTAAGAGTGCGTTGTTAGGGATGGCATCAGTGTTGGGTGAAAAGATGCAATAAAAAGAAAATAATAATATAAACTATTGTATTATTATTTAATTTTATCAGGAAACTACAATGTCATATTACAAAGAGTAATAGATATGCATGAGTTTCAAGAATAAATGTAACAATTTCACATGAACTTGCAAGCCAATCTCGCGAAACAAACATGCATAGCAAACCTAAATTAAAACAAGAAGAAAACATCTTTGCCTAGAAAAACCATAGTTGCAGTAATGCATGAAATATACAAAATACATAAAAACAATTCATTTCTTTACTTACCCAGACATCACACATGAGAAGGTGGTAGGTGCACTAGCATATCAGAAACAGTATACATAGTTGGGCGATGTTGTGGATTGGAGTGCAGGCATTCAATTGCAAGTTTAACAACAGACATCAAAATCACCTCTTCTTCTCGAGTGGGATAAAGAATGCGTGGATCCAACAAATCTTCCATCCGTAAATCTCCATTTGATGGAGGTGTTACATATTGAATGTATTCACCAGGATGCTTTCCTTTGATCACTTCCAATGCTAACACTCCAAAGCTATACACATCACACTTTTTAGTAACCTTCATTGCGTATGCAAGTTCTGCCCAAAAAAAAGGGAAAGAATACAATCAAAATCATGTATATATATTCCGTGAATAAAATTTTGGAAAAAAAAATTACCTGGAGCGAAATAACCATATGTGCCTGCAAGAGTGCTGAAATTCGATGAATCGCATTTTAGAAACTTAGCAGTGCCAAAATCTGAAACATGAGCCTCGTACTGTGAATCAAGCAAAATGTTGTTGCTGGATATGTCTCGATGAACGATTGGAGGAGAACAACTATGATGCATGTAAGACAAAGCATGAGCCACGCCCTTCAGGATATTAACCCTTTTACGTACGCCAATCCAATTTATTGGCTTCTTCATCCATGCTTAGATTTTTCGCTAAACTACCTCTATCAAGGTATTCATAGACCAAAAGTGAGCTTTGATCATTTGAGCAGAAGCCATAAAGTTTCACAATGTTCCGGTGCTTGATTTCTGTCAATGCTTTTATTTCACTTAGGAAAGCTTCAAAGTTTGCAATTTCAGATGATAAATGAAGTCTTTTGACTACCACTGTAACCATTTCAGATGAGGAATGAAGTCTTTTCCCTTCTATTGTCTTTTCTGATGAAAGTTGTGCCTTGTAAACCTTTCCAAATCCTCCCTCTCCAATACAAAAAATTGGATCAAATCCATTTGTGGCCTCAAAGATGTCTTTATAAGTGAGTTTTCCATTGAGTACAATGAGCAAATCATCATCTGCTTTCATTGGATTATTCTTTCTGCATTTATACAGAATGAGGATCCCAATGGATGCAAATAGAAGTAAAGCATAAATAAGAGGGGTTGCAATTGTCAAAACGAGTCTGTGCTCATTCCACGTCTTCTTGTTTTTGACTCCGGAAAGGCTTTTACATGGTTGTAATCCTACAATATTGCCACACAATCCTTTGTTCCCTTGTAGTTGTTCTATGGAGACATTTCGAAAGGCTCTGCCGCTAGGAACTGGACCCTCCAACTGATTATAAGATATATCAATGTCCATTGAGCCTGGCATTTCTTCAAAACTCTTAGGAATGAGTCCCAAGAGGTGATTGTGGGAGAGGTTTAATAGTTCCAGGCTTGTCAAAAATCGTAGTTCAGATGGTATTTCACCGATGAGTAGATTATTACTCATATCCAACTCAGACACATGGATCAACTTACCAAGCTGATGAGGGATTCTCTGGCTTAAATAGTTGAAGCTCAAATTCAAGTAATGCAACTGCTTAGAGTTCGCTAAATTTCCAGGTATCTGACCTGTCAGTCCATTTCTAGAAAGGTCAAGGTTTTCTAGATATGAAAGCGATCCCAATTCTTCAGGTATACCTCCAAAATGTTGGTTATCCTCTAAATATAGATTTAGAATTAAAGTTAACTTTCCAATTTCCTTCGAGATCTTCCCACGCAACTTGTTTGAAGAAAGATCGAGTACTTGCAGTTGACTTAAACTTCCAAATTCTCGAGGAATGCTCCCTGTAAGGTTATTCTTTGCAATTTTCAAAGCTTGAAGTTGTTTGTTGCCACCCCAGACGTTTGAGAGTTCACCATAGAAATTATTGCTACTTAGGTCCATAAAGGTCAAATTTGGATATACACCAAATTCTTCAGAAATATTTCCAGAAAGCTGGTTGTGATCAAGCCGAAATCTAACTAAACTGGAGAATTTTCTCAAGCTTTCAGGGATTGGACCTGAAAGTCTATTGAAGCTCATAATAAATATTTTTAATACTCTTCCACCACATAACTCTGGCAAATCACCTGAAAAACGATTAGAGAACATAGATACATTGACCAGTTTCTTCAATTTCCCTAGTTCACTTGGAATGGAACCAGAGAGTTGGTTTTGAGATAGACCAAAAAGTTTTAAATGGCTGAGATTCCCGAATGAAGCTGGGATTTGACCTGTGAGATTATTTGTGGCCAATTCCAACTCTTGGAGTGATGTCAACTTTCCCAACTCAAGAGGAATGGGACCAGAAAGTTGATTAATACGGAGATACAGAAATCTTAAACTAGTTAATTCGCTCAACGAAGATGGAATTTGACCCGTAAGATGATTCATGCTCAAATCCAAGTCTTGGAGCGATGCCAACTTTCCCAACTCAGGAGGAATGGGACTAGAAAGTTGATTAGTATGGAGATACAGAGTCCTTAAACTAGCTAATCTGCTCAATGAAGCTGGAATTTGACCCGTGAGATGATTCGAGCTCAATTTCAAGCCTTGGAGCGATGTCAACTTCCCCAACTCTGGAGGAATGGGACCAGAAAGTTGAGTAGCATAGAGATACAGATTTCTTAAACAAGTTAGTCTGCTCAACGAAGCTGGAATTTGACCCGTAAGATGATTCCTGCACAATTGCAAGTTCTGGAGCGATGTCAACTTTCCCAACTCAGGAGGAATGGGACCAGAAAGTTGATTAGTATGGAGAAACAAAGTTCTTAAACAAGTTAATCTGCTCAATGAAGCTGGAATTTGACCCGTGAGATGATTTGTGCTCAATTCCAAGTCCTGGAGCGATGTCAACTTTCCCAACTCAGGAGGAATGGGACCAGAAAGTTGATTAGTATGGAGAAACAAAGTTCTTAAACAAGTTAATCTGCTCAATGAAGCTGGAATTTGACCCATGAGATGATTTTTGCTCAATTCCAAAGTCCTGGAGCGATGTCAACTTTCCCAACTCAGGAGGAATGGGACCAGAAAGTTGATTATTATAGAGATGCATAGTTCTTATACTAGTTAATCTACTCAATAAAGCTGGAATTTGACCTGTGAGATGATTCTTGCTCAATGCAAGGTCCTGCAGCATAGTCAACTTTCCCAACTCAGGAGGAATGGGACCAGAAAGTTGATTAGTATGGAGATACAGAGTTCTTAAACTAGTTAATCCACTCAACAAAGCTGGAATTTGACCCGTTAGATGATTCTTGCATAATACAAGGTCCTGCAGCGTAGTCAACTTCCCCAACTCAGGAGGAATGGGACCCGAAAGTTGATTAATATGGAGATACAGAGTTCTTAAACTAGTTAATCCACTCAACAAAGCTGGAATTTGACCCGTTAGATGATTCTTGCTCAATGCAAGGTCCTGCAGCGTAGTCAACTTCCCCAACTCAGGAGGAATGGGACCAGAATGTTGATTAATATGGAGATACAGAGTTCTTAAACTAGTTAATCCACTCAACGAAGCTGGAATTTGACCTGTAAACTGATTGGTTGATAAATCAAGATAGTTGAGTTTTGAGAGCTTTCCTATTTGTGCTGGGATAGTTCCTATAAGCTGATTGGTTGATAAACCAAGATAGACAAGTTTGGAGAATTTACCAATTTGAGGTGGAATGATGCCAAAGAGGCGGTTGAGTGAGAGATCTATATAAGCAAGATTTGGGAAAGATGAGAACGGGAACTCATAGAAGAAGGCTTGAATGCTTGCATTTGTGAGGTTCAGCCTATTGACACTTCCGTTGATACAAGAAACTCCAAACCAATTGCATGGACTGGAACTTGATTTTGGACCGCTAGAAAGATTGGCGGAATCCTTAGTATCAAGATTCCATGATTTTAGTATCAAGTTGTTATGATTTATAAAACTGGCTTTCCATTTCAGCAAAGCATTAGCTTCAGCAAAAGAAGTAGAAGCTACAGCTTCAATAAAGATAAGGAAGAAGAAAAGTGCGAAACTATAGTATTTTATCATGGTTGTGCTAGGATTTCTGGATAAATTATCATGCCATGAAAGTTCAATTTATAGATTCATAATTTGTTGGGGGGGAGGGGGGGAGGAGGCAGGAACTTTAAGATTTTTACTATGCTAATGACTTCATAAGTCAAGATTTGTCTTTTAGAGTAAATATCATTCTTCATTATCAATCATTGCTGGTAATTAACTCAGATTCCAGTATCCAGTTCAGACGACCTTGACAAAATAAACTTTACTTAAATCACCGTACTATAAATCACGTCGTACTATTAAAGAAAAACCTGTGGTTATAACTTTCTGAAAATATTTATATGAATCTTGTACAAAATATATATGGGTTTTAATTATTACATTTGCTGCGTAAAGAACACATAGATTGAAATTTTCGTATCTTGGATACAAATTATAACAGACAAAGTTCAGGGAAAAAGAGAAAAATAAACTTTTATTGATAATTATCTATACAAATTACATACTACAGAAAAAGAAAAAAAGTAGATCTAGTTACATTGATCACTTAGTTCAGAATTACAAATTCAATAATATGTAAATATTGCTATACGAAAATAAAGGTAGAACAGAAAAATATCCTATGCCCAAAGTAAGTTATTGATTTCATGAATTTGATTGTTTTTCTCACTCTAACTTTTTCATTTAATTTAATTTTAACACATAATTAAATGTGTGTAAATATTTAACGAGGTTCACCATCCATTAAAGTTTTTGTCGATATATGTGATCTCACTTTTTTTTTTTTTTGATAATTCAAGTGTCTAAATTTCGTTCGACTAATTTTGAGGAGTGGCGACCTTCTTCCTTGGTTTACCACCTGTGCAAATCGGATGGAGCCACAAGTCAATTAATCAAAAGTCAAACGTTTAACTTTAATTGGACCAATTTAATAAAGGGTAAAGTGATCTTTCAATGTTTGATAAGAGGTCGACGTGGATGAGAATATCCATACATATAAAGCAAGGATAATAGCGAAAGGTTACGAATAAAGATGAGGTGTTGACTTTGATAAAACTTTTTCACCTGTAGTCATGTTGAAATCCATTTGGATTTTGCTTGCAATAGCTGCATACCATAACGATAAGTTGTGGCAAAATAATGTCAAAATTGTGTTCCTTAATATGAATTTAAAAGAGAAAGTGTACATGACATGGCTTGAAAGTTTTGAATTCAAATATATTTACAAGGTATGTAAGCTTGATTAATTCTTATATAGATTGAACCAAGTCTCTTGGAGTTGAAATCTTTGATTTGATGGAAAATCAAAAGGTTTAATTTTATAATAAATGAAGATGAACTGTGTGTTCACAATATGATAGTGGGGGCATTGTCGCATTCCTGATATTATATGTATAAGACATATTATTAATAGAAAACGACATTTCTACGTTTCAATCATTGAAATTGCGGTTGGAGAAGCAACTTGATTTATAGAGATAGATCTAGAAGATTGCTTAACTAATCTCAATCTACATACAGGATTTGGTACTATATCCCGCAAGTAGAAAAATAAATAAAATTCAAAAATAATACAATCTTCGTCCTGTCCCAATTGGAGATAGACATGTGATCCAAAATGGATTGAGACTAGTTGTATACAAAATTTAGGACAATGCATGCCCATAAGTGGGCCCTTTTGTATCTTTTTCAACGATGAGTGACTCGATTGATACCACTAATTATTTCGGCTGTTTTATTGATTATTTATAAGCAGCATTTTCTTCCCCATTTCTTTTCGCCTCTAATTATTATTAACGATTGGACTTACTACTTATTAAAAAGTAACTTGAATATAAATTATAAGTGAAAAATTTATATCAACAGAGGATAATTAACCTAACAAGTAACAATGACTTGGTCTTCCTGTCATTAAACAGATTGAAGATATTTCTTCATAAAATATTTCTCCTCAAATGACCAAAATGAATCTACCATGATGTTTAGGCTCCATTTTTATTCAAAACGCATTTTTCCCTCTTCTTTTCAAATGACCAAAATAAATCTAACATCATTTTTGGGCTCCATTTTATTCAAAACGCATTTTTCTCTCTTATTTTCAAGCACACGCTCTTCAATAAAATAATATTGTACGTAAATCTAAATCTTTACATATTTTTAACCACATATTCTTCAAAAATTACTATTCCGTATTACATTTTTCCCAAAAATTAACTTAAATGGGGCCCTAATTGGAAATGTATTTCAAAAGCCATTCCACCGAGTGAACAATTTTGTCTAACTTTTGATTATACTAAAAAGAAGAAGAAAGTAAGTGTAAAGTGGAATAAAGATTGAGAATCAAACATAAATAGTCGATATAGTACAATTTAAAATAGTCATGAATTTGTTAATTTTCCACACGGCGTTGATATAATTAATTAACTAGTAGAAGTGGAAAAGTAGTTCATTTACTTTCTTCATGTGATTAAACAACTTACCTTTCTCTGTGTAATATTTCTATTCGAATGGTCAAAATGAATCTAAGTGGAAATGCCTTTTCTATTACATATTTTGAAAATAATAAGTGAGACCTTTAATACAACTTCAACAACCCACTTTATATTTATTGCCACCAATATACTTCATTGCTCCATCGTATTATAGACGCACATCAATTAATTAAAGTTTTTGATAAGGTTGTGATAGAAAAAATATAAAAAATGTTTCAAAAGTATAGCTTTTATGTCATTTTCTTACTTCCATATTAATAAATAGACAAATTACTTAAAATGTGATGGAGCAAAAATGGAAAAAGAAAAGAAAAAATCGTAGAAATCGTAGTCACCATCGTATTCATTCATTAATTATGTCTTTCCACTTCTTCTCTTATTTAACTTACTTTCTCACTTTTATTTTATCGTTCTCCCTCATTTTTCTTTATAAACCAAATAGTTTCATAGAAAGTTGCAAAAAATTGAATAGTACTAAAAGTGCAATAAAATAGCAAATTTTGACTCCCTACATTAAGAAATTCAAATTTGCTCTTTATTTTTAATTTTAAATACAGAGAATTCATTTACAGTTCTAGAAAATTTACTTTTAATGGCAATAATTTCCATTGTGAATGTCAAAATTTTATCGTGGAATATAATCAAAGGCCCAAAAAATTGTCACAAGATAGTCGTAAAGGCCCATTATAAAATGTACTTATCAACAAAATGTATGTTTGTCATTGAACATAAACATTCAACATACAACAACAAAATTAAAAAAATAATAATGAATAAATAATAAAAATTGTTGTCCATATTCTTCAAATTTTGTTGTTACTTTTCATTTAAACGACAAGAATGTGGTTGATGATTGCCAATAACAAAACTTCAGTTCTTAAAACCGAATATTTTTTTAATAAAGTCCTTTAAAATATATATTATTAACATCAACAATTTGTAATTAATTTTGTTATTAAATTTAGTTTTGTTTTGTTTTTACCTTGTCGTTAAAAATATGTCATTTTTATCAATTAATGTCAAGAATATGACTTTAATATACTTATAATGCACATAAGTGACACTCAAATACAAACATAATATTTCAAAAATTGCCCCCACCCCCGCCCTCCAAAAAAGAGAACTATAAGCCCTAAATATCTATGCATACACCTAGAAGGAGTCTACGTATCAAGACAATTGTGACACGATCAATCCTGAATCAACCTAGTGGACCGGAAACATGATGTGCGTCAATGGTAAATGCCAAGTACGTGCTGAACCCACCACCAACACTAACTTCGACCTACTATGACTATAATAATTTTTTAAAAGATTTGACAGAGTTCCCCTTGTAATATGCACTAAACATACTTGAAAAGAAATAAATTTTCCCAAGCATACACATATGATGTGAAATGTGGAATACGTGACCCTCTTAATATGTAGTAATCAAATAAAGAGCCAACAAAAAAATTTAATTTACTTTACGAGAAAAAGTCCCAAATGCAAAAAATAAGTATAATATACGTCGAGCCCATTAGACTAATACATATAACTCCAAATGACTTATTTGATGTAATAAGTAATAAATATGTGCTCAAAAAGAAATTGAGACTACATGAACTCACAAAATGAGTCATACAATTGATTAAGGTAAGTGGTTCGACTCGACAGATCAACCAGCTCCAATTGCTTCTCCAACTCAATTACTACCTGCTAAGAAAAAGGATGATATAATATATGTGTTTGTATCACAGTAAGTGGGCAGTTTACAAATAAGTATATTTTCCTATTTATACATTTTTGCTGAAAAAATACAACTTTTAGCAATTCTAAATTCTGATAATTACTTTTAAGATTGAAACACGATGGATAGTAAAATCATTTCTTATTTATTCAAAATAATCAACTGTAAATTATTTTAAATATAAGTAATTTGATATCATTAAAAATTTGATTAAAATAGTCATTTCACAATTCTATAATGTGAAACATTTATTCTTAAATTGAGCAACAAAAATCGATAATTTGAAATCTAATAAACTGTAATAATATAGAAAAATAATACCAAAAGGTACCGGAAATAAACTTACCCATGTACCGATTAATATCAATGTATATGGAAAGATTATTCATAATTTGAAAATTCTTAAATTCTAAAATACTGTAATTCTATAATTCTAGTCATATGCTAGTAGAGTTGTCCAAAGACTATAATCTCATCATACACTTTGAAAATACATTCACACTAGTGTAGACTAGGATAAAATAATGTGGATGCTTTCTGGAAATTTTAAAACTAACTTTAAATGCACTGAAATATTTAATACCGACATAATATACTAACGAAATGACTTAGGTGACTGTGTTTAACTTTAAAAAGAACTATTTATTTATAAAAATCTTATTTTATTTTGAAAATCATGCTATCTAAGTCAATTATCTAAAATGCTATCTAAGTCAATTATCTAAAATAAGTACCTTTTGCAACTAATATAATTTAGGGCAAGCACTATAATAAATAAACATTTCATCTAATTAGCTTTAGAACTAATATAAATT